TAAACCTGATTGGAATCTAGGAAGAGATGAATAATCGCAGCACAGCGTGAACAAGGAACACAAAAAGTGATATGACACCGTTTCAATGGTTGGCAGCCACCGTTCTACAGTCATTATAGAACATAAAAAACTCATATAATTTCAATATTCGAAATTAAACATCCAATAGATGTCTATAATAACATGTCCAAATCTCAGAAGAATAAAAAAACTTTCATATTTTTAAAATTTGCGAAATATTTCTCTTAGTCTATGATATCTCATTTTTTTATGGGAAAATCTAAGAAACATGAAAATTAAAACTTCTACTTTGAGGAAAAGCTTTTGAAAATATTTATTCTTCATGGAATATACTCTACATCATTGAAATGCTAAAATACAAGCTCTAATTCATAAATCAGAGGAATGGTTACAGTCTTAAAATGACAGCTAGAAATTTTGTATGGCCCATTTTTTTTTCGCTGTCGAGGTTCCGCTCTCAATTCCATCCGCACTTCGCACTCGAAAAACAAAAAGTAACAACCCGAACGGAAAAAAAGTAATAACCTGCTACATAGTCAACACAGGTTTTACATAGTCTGTATCCCTTATAATTCTCCTTCATCACATCTTTCTCATTCTCATAATAATAACTTTTCTGACTAAGGAATATGCAATACAAATAAGTATAAAAAAGAGTTTGTTATTTTGGTATAAGAATATTTATCTGCAACCGATTCCAGACAGAATGATCATTCAATGTAGTTGCTTCATCATTTGAAACGATTTGGCCCTGGTTTACCGTAAGAATTGTTAGAATAACTTGAATTTTGGGATTTGGTTTCTGTAAAATCTGATTCGCCCATTCTTTGGCTCTTAGATCCTTCATAGCCCTTATTTTTACCAAAGAAATCTAATTTAATTGAATTAGATTATCTATTAATAAATAATTCTCTTCTTCAAAAGATAGTAAAAACCAACCCCATCTATTAAAAATATCACTACAACAGGAACAACAACCCCAGGAACAATGACCTTAGCATTATTACTGCTTCCTCCATCACTACTATCATCGTCGTAGTTATTATTGGAAGGAACTCGTGATATTTTAATATAGGCATCACTCTTCGAAAGAATAAGTCTCACCACTTGTCCAATATTCGTATCTTCCTATTCAGAATCTGTAGCAGAAGATATAAGCGGAGAAAGATATATTTGTGCATAACCATCCATATCTGAATAAATATCAGAAGATTCAATAGTCGAAGCATATAAGCCATCTTTATTTTCTATCTAATCTGAAGTTTCATTTGGGCTGGTACTTTCATTATTAGGAAACTAACTTTAATTTTGACTTTATTGGTTCCGTCAGAATCATTATCAGGGTTGAAATGAAGTGGATCCCAGGTTATGCAATATGTTTCATCGACAACCATTTCAGTACCTTCAAGTATGCTACATGGCTTTCAACCTACAGGAACTCTATCTCCCATACAACGTAGTACAGATGGAGCCGCTAATGGAGTTGGAAAATTAGTATTTGTTGGGGTCGGTGAAGGACTTGTGGATTTCCATCTTTTACAGTGGATGTTACTTTATAAGGAACACCTGAGCTATCGAGGGATACTCATGGCATGGTCTCAGCATCACCGCCTGATGCTGAAACTCTGACACCATCAAATGCAAATCGACAACTTAAAGCACTATATACGCTTTAAATGAAAATCTCGGAGAAATTATTTAGTCCCCAATATCATAGAGAGGAAATTGGATCACTCTAAATTGAGATATTTGAAAAGGCAGAACAACCTGTAACTCATTCGACAGGTCAAATGAAGTTCGTAAGAATAAGTGCATAATTGCCAAGTGCAGGTAGGAACTTATTCTTTTCCTCTTTCTAGGGCAGAATGCGCATTATTTAAGAGCAACTTAGTGGTTGTTTAAAATTCTCGCCTACTGAAATAGAAGGCCATATTCAGATATACAAGCCTACTATTGGCTTAGAACCGATGCAAGAGATAATGCATGTATAATTACAAGGCTTGCAAGACTTGGCTGCAGGAGTTATTCTTGGAATTATTTCCGAGATTCATGTACAAGGAATATGAAAAAAAAAACTGCTCGGAATTATGTCCTTGAAGAAAAGCTTGCTATAGTGTAGCAGAATCCGAACACGGTCCGGAAATATAAATGTCGGTAAAACTGGATGCTTAACTTCTTCGAGTTGTTTGTGTCCAAGGCAAGCAGAATGTGAAGCTTTCATATCTCAAAACCAAGCCTAAATAAAATATAAATTTGATATTTCTGAATCTTATATTGTTCTCTAGCGAAACATTTTTCTGATTGAACTTGGCTATTAAAAAAAACAATCTACGGAATCTTCTTCTTGAGTATACCAAACTGTATGTAGCCAAAATGGTTGCATTAATATACTTTATAGAACGTTTGTTTGAAGTATTTGTATTGGGTAAGGTAAATCTAGGAAAGTAATATATTAATAGATGCACATACTGAATGTTCTTGGCTAAAGATTATCAGATCAATCTTTGGCCAAGAAGAGATACTTATCGGCCGTAACCTTATTTCATGCATAATAATGCATAAGCTTTGGCAATTCCTTGAATGAAAACTTTGCTTGGTGTATTTTCTTTAACTTATAAATAGATAGATGTATAAAATACAATCAAGTGAAATATTTGATTAATAATCTATTTTAATACCATGCTCGATATGAAGAAAGATTTGAGCAGAGAAGAGAAAGAAGTGGAGAAAGAAGTGGAGAAAGACGTGGATCATGTTGGTCTTGAAGTCAAAGAAGAATCACAGATTTATCAGCAAGATAGTACCACAAGTGAAAAGAATATTTCAAATACAAATGATGAATTTATTAAACGGTCAAGAGGTGTTATTCTCATGGATTCGATTAAAGAAATGATAGCGATGGAAGGAAAAAGAGGTAAAACAGTATGGGTGATAGGTGTTGCAGTTTGGATTCTCATGTGGGCCCTCGGTTTAGAGAAAACCTCAACTTCAAATTATGAGGTCTTTGCGACTTCATCTTATGGAAATCATACACTAATTGCGACTTCAGGAATTGCGAGTAGTATTATAAGTTCCATAGGTCAAATGTTTTTTGCAAAGTTTTCAGATACTACTTCTCGACCATTGACTTATGTTGTTTCTGTTGGCTTTTTTTTAATAGGGTATGTAATTATTCCTACTAGCTCTACAATTTCGGCTTATATAATTGGGATTGTATTTGGTGATCTCGGAAAATCTATCTTGGATCTAACTACCACGTTCGTTATTGCTGATCTTACACCCTTAAAATGGAGAGGTATAGGTATTGCTTTTGTTGAAACCCCTCTAATTATTATACCCTGGTTTTCTGGTCTAATAGTTGATGAAATAGTTGATGATAATTGGAAATGGGGTTATGGTATGTTCACTATTATTATTCCCGTAATACTCATACCTATAGTGTGTTTTCTCTTTTACTATCAAAGAAAGGCTTCGGAACTTGGCATTGTCAAGGAAAAAACAGAAAAATATGGTATTCAAATGGAAAGTATGAACAAAAATAATTGGTGGATGAAAATATACAATGCATTAAATGAATTTGATCTTTTTGGATTGCTTCTTTTGGGAACTTCAATAACTCTCATTCTTTTACCTTTGTCCTTATATAAATCAGCAGATAAAGGTTGGAGAAATCCAAGTATCATTGCTATGTTTGTCGTTGGAGGCGTAATATTGGCATTGTTCGTCTTATATGAACTATATGTTGCTTCTTTTCCATGTCTCCATAGGAGTAATTTTAACAGAACAGTAATCACAGAAATTTTATTTAATATGTTCTATTTCATCGCATCGAAAATAGGTTCAACCTACCTTTCATCATTCGTTTTGGTGTATAAAGATTGGAGCACTAGGGATTGGACATATTTTAACAACACGAATACAATTTGCAAGAGTTTTTTTGGACTTCTTGCTGGGATATTACATAGATATACTCATCGGTACAAATATTTGCAAATATTCGGTGTGTGCATAGAAATCATATCATGTGGTTTGTTGGTAAGTATTAGAGATGCTAACACAAACACTGCAACACTAGTAATGTCACAAATTTTATCTGGTATGGGTGGGGGATTTGCTGTTTTTAGTTCACGTTTAGCAATTCAAGCTGCTGTTTCTCATCAAAACATGTCAATGGGTATTACAACTGTGTATTTGTTCACAAGCATCGGTAAATCAGTTGGAGGTGCAATTGCCGCAGCTATTTGGAATAGTAAGACCCCTCAAAATTTGAGAAAATATATGCCGGATAGTGTATCAGATGAGCAAGTGGATGATTATTTTGGCAACTTAGCGCAATTAGCAGACTATCCAATGGGTAGCCCAATTAGAAGTGCCGCTATTGATGCTTATGTTGATACTCTTTATTATATATTTGTCCCGGCTTTAGGAATTACATTCGCTGCTCTAATCGTCTGCTTTTTCCAAAAGAATTTTTACTTGGGTAATGGCCAAAATGCGGTGGAGCCTGGTGAGAATAAAGATCATCAAGAAGAGAGTATGGATTTTGTTGAGAAATTGCAGGCCAAGCTAGCTAACAGAAAAAAGGATAAGTATGCAAACGTATAACCTTTTGATTTCTAAAACTGTATAAATTAGGTACTATACCCTACAAACGGGTACTTGTGCGACAAAGTCTTATAACTTACTAAATGAATAAGATAATCAGCCTGATGCAGCAAATAGTTTGCCAGGGACATCTATCTCACATCATTCGATGGTTTGATTTTATAGTAACATGACATCTTGGTTCTCTGAAAAGTAAACAAAGAACGATTTTGCACTTTCAGTATGGGATTGAACAGTTATCACGGGTACAGGGTATAGTTTAAGAGAAGCTAGGCTGTAATGAGGTTTGGTTTAGGGAAATGTATGATATTGATAGAGGGTAAATAATATAGATACAAATAGTTTTATCATTGTATAGGTGAATCAATAGATTGATGAAGAACTCAATTTCTCTATTTTAAAATCATGTCCCCAATTAGAGAAAATAATCCCGAATCAAAAGCCTTTGTTTGATCAATGTGGGTCAAGTATTAAAATTTAAGATACTCAAGGAATAGAAAAAAATTAGCGAGCTTGCAAGAAGAGATCAACTCGGGTATTGTCTATATAAGAAGTTCCGTAATGTACAAAAACAAACCGTTATTATGTATACTGATATTGTAATTTAAATCTTGTATACTATGGCTAAGTTGCAAGAATTGTGGTATTTCAAAATACAAAATATTGATAATGGACTTGAAGCATTAAAATTATAACTAGTTACGGCGATATCATTTAATGCGAAAAATATAAGTAAATTCGTTCTCCTTTTATATTGCGCTATGTATTAATCATTTAGAACTGATTTCAGTTTAAGAGATAAGAGCAGTATTCAGCATTTATTTGTTGCAACACAATTTTTTATGAAGTTAGGACTTACGAATTACTATCATGCAAATCAGAAAATTTTAGAAAGAGAATACAAACAAGTTAAAGCTATGTTATTTATTCCTTCATAATTTGGAGCAGAATTGACAAATTTGATGGGTTTCAAGATTTTAAACAAAACACCTAAGGCGATTAGGAATGCAAAAATCACGGTGGCGGAGGTTATAGTTTCTTTATTTGATCCCACAGGTCCTTTCACATATGAGATAATGGAATAAGTGGGTATTGACTCAGAATCAAAGACTGTTACATAAAGAGGAGGTCCTGATGCCAAGGTTTCATTTACCAGCCTTTACGATGTACTTAGATCAGTTTTAGCAATTGCGGCCATTTATTTTTTTCAAAATTACCTGACGAAATTAGAGTACAGTCTTCTGAAATCACACCTCGTGAAGTCATTGAAATATTTGGAAAAAAAAGCTTGTAGTTAAAGTCGAATCTGCTCAAGAAGCATTGAAGGCAGCTCAGGCCAAGTATTCTCAGAGTTACAAACATACTAACTTCTTAGACTATTTTAGTATCAGATTACTTCCAGTGTGTTGATAAAATGTCTAGCATTTAGTGAAATGAAAGTCAATCCAGATGCTAAATTATGTACTTGAGATAAATTATAGTACATATATGTTAATTGAACAGAATGTAAGAGCTATTCTATAGAATATAATACTAATTATTATAAGATGAACATAACAAGGAAGTTTTATTATCCCGCTAATAGTGTAAAGGACCCGTCTAAAGAAGATCAGTCGAATTTTGTTCTTTACGCCGCATTCTCCATTTCTACTAAAAGCAATTAACGGCAACCTATTTTCTATTCAAGATTATATAATCCTGTTTCTGTTTGCTGTTTGGTTTTCAAGAATATATACTTGCTTACAACTTGGTTTTTTTCTTGAGATTATTACAACAAATAGATAGAGCCATTTTAACACTAATAGTATTTATACTTTTCCAAATTTACAAGTTTTATTCGTGTGCCATCAATAGAACTTGTATCATAATATCATTTAGATAGCACACTATGTTCTATATGGTGTAGTAAATGTTTTTAAAGTGCTGTAAACTTTTATCTGTTGACAATACAACGTGTTGCATTTATTCTCCAGAGACAAGGCGCAATTTTTCTAAATAGCCTACAAAATTTTAGGTCCGACAAGTTCCGATAGATCTGGCGATTCGGATAAAGCCTACACATTTCCGATACTACCGGTTCCCCGATGATCGGATAGATCCGTTATCCAAATAAAACAATATTTAACATCATATTTCCCAATTATATAAAATTCCCGGAGAAAATGAAATAGAACTATGAGTTTTACTAAAATGGCGAATACGAAAATTGCCAACATATCTAGCAATTTTACTAACATATTGGTAATAGGTGGATCTTATGCTGCTATATCATTTATTGATAATTTTATTACAATGATTCAAGGTGAGAATGCCTTACCATTACAAACGAATGGAAGAAAATTCTCTATTACAATGATTGAGCCCAAATCAGGATTTTTAAATGTCATTGGAATGCCTCGCGCAATCCTTGATATAGAGTTTGCAAAGTCTCAATACATTGCATTTAATAAGCTTAAAGGCATTGAATTCGATAATATGTTCGAATCTGAAAATGTGACAAAAAGAGCAACGACAAACAGCAAAATAGGCCTTGAATTAAATTATATTCAGGGGAAAGTCACGAAATTGGACTCAAAAAGTGCTGAGTACGAAATGGAAATGGTGCCGCAGGCTACTTCTCTTCAATTTAATTACGTAGTGTTGGCATCAGGCAGAAATAGATCTCCTCCAATATCTCCCGAGTCTTTAGATGAGAATTCATTTATAAATGAAGCAAGCGACTTCAAAAGGAAAGTGGAAATATCTGACAAAATATCAATTATTGGAGCTGGTGCAGTAGGAATTGAGGTTGCAGCTGAAATAAAACATTATCATCCTGAAAAGACAGTTAATTTAATTCATCCATATTTACTGTTTCCACCTGAACCCCTTTCTTCTAAATTTAAGGAATCAGCTCATGCATCTTTAAAAGATGCCGGTGTAAACATTGTTCTTGAAACCAGGATTGATAAAGAATTAGCTAATGGTAATTTAGAAACTGATGATGGCAAAACTATTGAATCGCAATTTAATTATTGGACTAGCGGCAAAAAGAACAATATTAGTATGCTCGCTAAGAATATGCAAGATAAATATGTCTCTAAGAGTGGAAATTTGTTAACCAACGAATATCTACAACTATGCAATTCTAAAGATATAATTAAGAACATCTTCTGCATTGGAGATATAGTTGAATTGCCTGTTATTAAAACTGCGGGATGGGCAAACCAAATGGGTATAATATGTGCAGCGAACATTTCTAGTTTATTGAACAATAAACAAGCCGAGAAGACTCTACCAAAAGATAAGCTTGAAACTCAGAATATGGTACTTTTATCAGGTAACCGTGACCTTATAAGTGAAGTGGATGGTCAAGTCGAAATAAATAAAGATCGTTTCGTTGAAGAGTACAAAGATTACTGCTTGAGTAAAGTAAAGAGGAAGTTACATGTTTAATAACACATATTCCATTGTTATAAATGCTTAAATTAAGTGAAATTTTAATAGAAGTTTTGGTAACTTACTTGTTCATATCTAACCTACATTGAAGCTACGAAATATTATATCGAGTTATGACGGCCTTTCACTAATGTGTATATCTTAAAAAAATGAATAATAATCCGTGAAGTCAATAGTGACTCTGCGTCAAGGTTATTATGGCTAATTACGTTGTATATTCTGCGTCACATAATGGAAATTGCATTTGATTTAAAGTTTTCAGTATTTAAGAACATAGGTTTATATATTGGGATCGTTGCAGAAGAGTGTCACAAAAGTTTGTGTGTAAATAGATTAGACAATTCCTTTAGTCTCAAGAAATAATTATTATATTGGGACAAGTTTCCTTACTTAATATACGTTCTTTGTGATCTCAACAACATATTTTAGAATTATATGCTACTAAACCTCGGGTTACGCAAAGCATTATAATATCCCTTCTCATGTAGATGCACATTTTTTGATTTTACTAATATTTCACCTTACTTGATTTTGTAATTATCATAGATTTATAGTATCAGTTTGCCTTGAAAGAATTAAGATCTTTATAATAACTTGAACTTGCTCATTCATTCGTTTTCATATAATCTACGTTATTCTTGTATTGAATGGCTCGATAATGAACATACTCACTACTTTTACTCCCAGTATGCGCACGAAGTTACAAGATAAGGTTTCACTTCTTACTATATATGCAGGAACATTTCACAATTGTTGCAAAAAACAGAAACTTTTTTGAATTAATATTTTCCTGGATACCTATTCAATGTAACGAAAATACTTAATCAAAATAATGGTTTTACCATAACAAAAGCAAGTACTCAGGGCCTTTACTAAGCTTTTTTATTGCAATGCATCACATATAAGTTCGTAGTTATCGACGTTTTGTTTACTTACCGGAATTTTGTTCTATTAGTTTTGTAGCCTTTCACTGGAATTTAAGCCCATTAGACCCATTTCAAGACATTTACAATAAACTATTTACTAACCTGATGCTCTTAATAAGATAAACACTTTTTGTTTTGTTTTTATGGCGAAAATTTTGTCTATAAAATCTTTAACCAAATGAAATAACAATTTGTGACAAGTTGAAATACCTGTATTCTTAAAAGTGAAATACGTGCCTTAAAAATATTAATAATCTGTACAGTACAGATAATTGAGAGGTCTATGTAAATCTGCCCCCATGGTTGGATATAGCTTGAAATCTACTTCGTTATTATATTTCTGAAAGCATTTATAGTGTCTGTTATAAGAAGAGATGAAAAAGCTTTAAAGCAGCATCAGCCTCTCTCTTTCCCAAATACTCTCTAGTAAGTAAATCTGACTTCGGTGGGGTGATTTCACTACCTTCATTTGCATTTGCTTGAGCTCCAACTTTTAAGAACTGGCCTGTTCTGTTCAAATTATTGTTGGAACCATCTTTGGAATTACTTCTGAAAGTAGCCCCAAGTTTAGCCAATGCATTCCGTTTTGGGCAGCAAATACTGCCATCGCAGCCAAAGTTTCACCTTTTGAGCCACTTTTGAGGCTGCAACTGTGAATGCAGGCGCAATTGTATCTTTCCAAGCACCCTTAACAAATAAAGGTGACGACTTATCTTGGAAATTTTTGGGCTTTGCCAACATATTGCCCATATAGGTTGGGCTACCAAAACACATAACTGAATATTTATAGAGAGATTTTCTAAATTTTCAGATGCTTCATCACTAGTAAAAATCTAGCACTTACTTCTTTTACCGACCGAGTACTCTTCAAACCTGATTCTACCAAAAGCTGCCTCAAAATCATCCACTTCAACAATAAATCCACCTTTGTGAAGGTATAACTCAATTAGAGATTTTTCGTTACCGAATATATCTTCCTTTGATAGGTCTGGAATATTTAAAATTTTCTTAAAAATAGGAATTACATTCGCTGCTCTAATCGTCTGCTTTTTCCAAAAGAACTTCTACTTGGGTAATGGCCAAAATGCGGTGGAGCCTGGTGAGAATAAAGACCATCAAGAAGAGAGTATGGATTTTGTTGAGAAATTGCAGGTCAAGTTAGCTAACAGAAAAAAGGATAAGTGTGCAAACGTATAACCTCTTGATTTATAAAACTGTATAAATTAAGTACTATACCCTACAAACGGGTACGTGCGAGAAAATCTTATAGCTAAGTACATAAGATTAACAGCCTGATGCAGAAAATAATTTCTCGTGGGATACACTCCTCTCTTGCGCTCATCTTGAGCTCGGTTGCTTCTACACTCATTATCGGTTACGTAACTTGAGCCTCTTTTAGAATAATCTCTATATTAGACATATATACCAAGCTTTCCTCTGTGGAACCGACAGGATTTTTATTTCAGATCACCAAACATTCTCAGGGTTCTTTAAGTATGAAATTAATGACGACAAAATGACTATAAACTACTATGTCATTAATGATCCAGAAAGTGTGGAGCATGGCATGACTTTGAGGTCGGCAATAGCCGGATTTTTCTATAAGGATGAGGCTGATGCGATTGATACAAAGGGCAGGTTGAAGAAAACTTTCGAAGTGGCCAGGAAAACTGAAGAACTGGATCCGTTTCTGAATGTTTTGCCTAAAACTTCTTATGGATCTCCAGGAAAATTGTCGGATAGTGGGGTTTCAAGTAAGTTAGCAAGCAAGTTAGACCCAGTAAAAGAAAATGACGATAGTGATAACTTTGATGCCATTGATGGTAACACATATTGTCGAGTCATATACGATGCTGCAGAATTTTATCCTGATTTGAAACTCCCGTCCCCTGTTTTTGTCAAATTCTATCATCGTTAAGGATCCAAAAAAGAAAGAAATTGAGGTAAATACAATTTTATACAAGAGATATGATTTGCATCGTGATCATGAGCAAACATAAGATTATTGTTGGATATTCCATTATTAAGGTTTCAAAATTTTGAAGATGAAGAAAGGCCAATATTAAGAAGTTTAATATCACAGGATGATGCGTCAGTATTTTGTGGAACCATGCCATTTATACCAGCTTTGGTTTATATTACAACTGCCATGATGGGCGCCAAGTTTAAAGAATTAAGTACTCAAGAGTTTAAAAACAATTACCTCGCTCCTCTTGATAGCTCTATCAAAGAATCTAAACATAATCTTTTTCCTTTCTTAGACTCATACTATGATTCTCCAAGGGGATATACTTGGAATAATAAACTTGAAATCAAGCAATATTTTCATGGAAATATAGCTGGAACAATTGACCGTCTTTATTATGCTATCTTTGGTGATTGCCACCACTTCGGTTCTTCTCCAGTTATAAAAACTATTTTGAATGAAAAACAAAGACTACGAATTGATGCTATGCATTATAAAATGAACTATTCTACATACAATCCAGAAATATGTTTTGCTCTAGGCACGTATAAGTCGGAAAATTATTATTTATATCGCGGCTTTAAAGAATTGAAATCAGCTATGGAAAATGTAAATGGACCAATTGAATGCATTTTTCCAGGGCGAGAATGGAGTCCTAGGATATTTAGCACTTTAACTCTTCGGAGATTTATTTATCATGCTTTCCATTGTGGCACTGATAGAGTTTTCATCTCATATCATCAATCGTTTTTAGGATTTTTCAAATACGAAATCATCGACGGTCAAATGGAAATAGATTACTATATCATAACTGATGCAGAGACTGTCTTGGAGGGTGTTACATTAAGATCTGCTATAGCTGGATTTTTTTTCAAGACAGAAGAAGAAGCGCTCAATACGAGGAAAACCCTAGCAAAGATATTTCAGGTGGCTTGTAGTTCTAAAGGATTTGATCCACTTTTAAATATACTTCCGAGGCCTGTTGAGCTTTTAGGTAAACTATCCCCTATTGAACTTCAAGAATTGGAAATAATTGAAGAAATGGTTGGTCTTAATGATTTTGAGATAATCTCACACGAACCGTATTGGCGAATAATCCATGATGCAGTAAAATGGTATCCTAATTTAGTTATGAACCTTCCATACACTGTGGTTGTTAAATTATATTACTACTCCAAGTTATTCTACGAAGACCAGGAAAATGATTTGTCATGGGTCAGCATTCCTGATAAAAGAGAATATTATGAAATGTTTGTCAATGAATTTGCAATTAATAAAATACTTGCAGAGTCGAAGTTTGCTTCCAATTTCCCAAAGCTCCTTGTTTCTGTATATTGGAACGGACTTCCCGATCATCCGATGCATATATTTGAATATCTAGGAAAGGAGGCCTCAGAAGAAAAGTGGAATAAAAAAGAAGTGTACAGAGTTATCAAGTCAAGAATCGAAGAGCTTCATCTGATAGAGATTTCGCATAATGAAATTTGGCTTGAAAACATACATATAACTGATTCAGGTAAAATTTCGCTAATTAACTTTGGGCTATCACAATATCCTGCAACTGAAATGAGTAAAAACGGTGATTTTCGATCTTTAAACAATATATTTTCAAACCATTAATATGATAACTAAAAGCTATGAATGTCGTCACTGTAACAACGAAGATGAATATTAATAAACAAAATAGGAGTCAAGAAGGTACAAATATTACGACCTCATGTGACTCAAAATGTAAAACTTTAAATTGGGTACTAGATAAGATATTATTAGATACACGTCTATTATGAATTACCTATATATGACAATGAAGTTATACAGACGAAAGTAAATGAATTGTAGAATATTCGACTTTTCTCTATTTACTATTTTTTGAATAGTTTTAGCTTGGCGGCGGTGAAGACAAGGACATGGATATTGATGTTGATACTGGTATTGATCTACTTGAGATTACCAAATTCAATTATGGAACATTATTCAATAAAAGTACGATCAAAATATCAGACATACAGAAATGTTTTTAAATTTTTTTGGAATTGAAAATATATCTGACGTAGATTTGGAACCTCAAAGTCAAAAATTGTACTTTAAAGATCATCCAGATGAATGGAAAAAAGTATTCATCTTCTTTTGTGGTATGCCTTTTACCGAATATGAATTTCAGGGTGTTGATGGGAATTTGCTAAATTCTTATACTCTACATAATATGTATCCAAGTCATGGTACAGACAATGTCCTAATTGAAACTTTTTCTGAAATGGAATTTGATTCATTCAACGAAAGAATTCCGAAAAATAGGTTGGCATTCAATTTGCAAAATATTTTGCAAATAGACATATTCTCAAGCAATTTTAATCAACAGCTAAGTAAAAGAATAGTAACGAAATTGCTTGGAGTATGCTTTAAAGAANATTACATGCTTGTGACAGATATANCATCCACTGATAAAGACTATACCCTGCAATTGGGTGGAAGCTCATACAAAAACTGAAATCGTAGTTTTATTCACTTTTGAAAGTGCCTCCATAATGTCATGGCTCTTTTTTAAACCAAACAAATAAATTCAAATTACCTTAAATAGAAGGTGAGATTAAATGATCTAGTCTATTTTTTTTATTTAAATCTAAAAATTTGTAACATAATAACACTGAATTAAAATGCTTAGTCTTTAGGGACCAATTTTAAAACATAAAAGCCTCATTTGTTGTGACATCTCCTAATAGACCTTTATTCTTCTTCTTCCCTACCAATGAGTTAACTAATCCATCAGGACAACCCAAAAAGACCTTGCTGTTATGGCATACGTATTTACCTAACACATCTTTAGTTAATCTTCCACTATGTAAATAGTCGGCTTTTAAGTCTTGGGGGTCATTAAGAACGTGTACCATCTTTAATCTCATCATATTTTTTTCTGAAGATTTTCCAACTTTTTTTTTTGAAAATGATATCCTTTGGAGTCTTATTAGCAAACATTAATGTTAAGTATGTGTCAGGTTTTTCTAATAGCAAATATTGTAAAACCGAGAAAACTGGTGTAATGCCAATTCCACCGGCAATTAAATCAATATTTTTAGGTAATTTCTCGATAGCAACGTTATGGATTGGAAGAGNACCTCTGAATGTTACTTTTTNACTTAACGATNTGATTATCGAGTTAACCTTTGCGTGATGTCANTGCGAAACTTAGTAAACCGAGTGGAAGAAGCGACCGGTACAGATTGCATCGCATAGCGAATACGCACATTCAATATGTTCTCTCTCAACATCCGGTTATAAATCGGATGCCNNNTGTCCTGGAAAATANACATATNGACAGCCTCAAACACCGGTATCCCTTTTCCTTGCTTTACCGGATAAATATGGCCGATTCCTTTTTCCATAATTTGGGCTGATATTNATCATACGGAGGANCTTGCCTTCGTGCCGCANATTTNTATGCTGGGCGTAGACAGATATCATNGGGACGAGCGGTTTGATATATTTCCTTTCCAAATATAAAAAGAATAGTCGCCCTTTTAGTTGGAAAATATGCAGCCGATTGTTTTGAAGGCGTATTGTNAGAAATAGCAAATAATTCTGTATTCCGTTCTGAGAT